TTTTTTTGGAGTGATTAAAGCCTTGAATTTTAGGCTTTTCATTGTTTTAATTCTTGTAAAATTTGCTTCTTGTAATACTTGATTTCAATCAAAATAATAATAAAAAAAAAGGAACGTGAAATTTGAAAATATTAAAAAAAAAATTCTTTCAAATATGCGATAGATTTCTTTGTTCATTTTAATGTATTAATTAGTAATAACAATAAGTTGTCAAAAAATCATGTTTCAAATTTTAGTGGTGATTTTAATTGTGGGTAAAATATATACTTTTAGCCGCAATTAATTGTTATCACTAAAAGTCAGGTTTTAATCGGACTTTTAGTGGTAATATAGTATATTTTAGTGGCAAAATTTAATTTACTTGCTACAATAATTATGGCGGCTAAAAATTTCATATTTAGTGGAATTTTTTATGGTGCGGCTAAAAAATTTACTTTTAGTAGCAACAAATAATTGTCATAGCTAAATGATTGAGCCACACACATATTGTTGTGGCCTAATGACAATAAAAATATTTTCACTAAAGTATATAGTGACAATTTTTATGCATTTAGTAGCAATAATTTTCGCGGCTAAAAAACCAATTTTTTGTAGTGACTTATTGATATTTTTCATTTATTATATGTTCATTGTTATTGGCTGGGCCTAGCACTGTTCTCTCTTTTAATCAACCATGGAAATATCATCTACAGAACTTGATAGACACAATGTTCTAACTATTGAGATTATCACTCATTGATTGTAAAATCTTTGAGCTATGCGCTTATTGATCTTGGAATCGTATTCTATTAGAAATCACAATTATATTCGAACTCAGCATATGTTATTATCTATTGCATTTGCTCCATTCTCACTTGATGCCATATAGTGTGTCTCGGCATATCGCCCCCAAGATTTTATAAAAGGAGTCGGGGATATTCGTCGTAGATTTTCTTTCCTTCTGGGTGCTGCAAAGAAAATAAAAGATGGGGTCAATTGAAAGATCATAATTTAAATTTGAAAGATATGGACCCAATAAGAAAAGACAAGAAAGTAGGGGTGCAACTTAGTTTGGACAACCCGATTTCAACCCGAGCCAAATCTGAAAAATTAGGGTTTAGTGAAGGGTTTTTAATATTTGGGTTGGGCTTGGGTCAACAAACTCCAACCCGAATTCAATTTGAGTTGAGCTCGGGTTAAGACCTCATGAACCCGACAAATTTAACCTGAACCCGTAAATCAGTCCGAAATCATCAACTCGAGCTCGCTCGAGTTAAACTCGGGCAGTGCTCGAGTTGAGTTCCCCAATCCGAGGTAAGGTAAGGGTTGAAGATTATATACCTAGGGTTGGACTAAGGTTGATTGTCCAACCCGCTCGAGTTGCACCCCTACAAGAAAGACATAGGGTGAAATCTTCACATTCTCCGAGGGGTAAAAGTAAAGAAAGTCCCACTATCATAAATGCGTTACAAGTATTTTAATAAGATTAAGAGTAATGCTACACTGATCAAATTTTAAAATTAAATTTAGAGTTCAAATGACATGATAGTTGATTATTTAAAGTTTTTATTGGGGCTCAAATGACATGACACTAATCAAGAAGCCCAAGTCAACTATTATGTCATTTGGGCTCTAAATTTGGTTCAAAAATTTGGTCAGTCTAGCATTACTGTAAGATTAATACTATTATCTTCTCTTCTTTCACAATAATAATGATCAAAGGACCAATATAAAAAAAAACACCAAAAAAGAAGAAGTTAATTCTGCCTCACGAATTCAAACAACTAGATATTCATTGGCATATATAAACTTCGGTGTACAAAATTATTTTACCTCCAATTGAAGTAATATACAACCTAGGATAAGCGGCAACAACTAAGTTACCAACTGAAACAATATTTTTAGGGTTGCTAGTAATTTTAGTTCTTAAAGCATGTCTGTTTTGTCAGTTTAATTATTTTTGTATTAATTTTGTCAATTTGATCACTAAAGTTTTAATTCATGTCACTTTGGTCTCTAATTAGACAGTTAATTTTTTTAACGAAAGTGAATCACGTATCATGCTATCAAACAGTATCACATGATCAACACGTGATCATTCAATCAAAAATTTAGCGGTTCCTCTATGTACGGACCATTTAAACATTAATTGAATACTTTATGAACAAAATTGATACATAAAGGGACAAAATTAATACTTTAGAGACCAAACTAATTGAATATGCATACTTTAGAGATCAAAAGTTATATTAACCCATATTTTTATAGTGCAAGGGGCCATTGCAATTTGTTTAGAACTTGTAAAATTTTAAAAATTGGATTAGTTCACATGGAGTTGAAGAAGTAGGAGATTGCATGAAGGGGACATATTGTTGATTGAGCATAATTTTCTGAGGCTGTCTACCCATGTAGTAAAAGTCTATGGCAAAGGAATTTGTCCGTGTCTTTAATGGTGCTACAAGTTTTCAAATTAATAGACGCTAGGTAATGTATGTTCAAGATCATAGTTTAAGTAGAAAAAGTATAATTTACCCACACTTACATGTATAGACTCGTGTAGAGTAAATATTTGAGAGATCTGTATATTTCTCATTCTATTTTCTCTGACATTTTTTCCTTTATAGAGACATGATAAAATTTAGTTGTCATTGAATGATTATGTGATTAAATGAGGCAAAATTATTGATTGTTTGATAATTTTATTGAAAATGAATAAACCTAAGAATTTGATATTAACAATAACTCATTGAATGTCTCTCAACTGAATAAAAGTTTATGATTATTCCACCATTTTCCCCCTCCTCTCATAGAAAAAAATTGGCTTTTTCCCCGCCTCTAATAACAACCTATAGAACCTCGGATAAATAACAAAAATTATACTTCCCATAGAAATAATATGTCTAATAGGATAACTAGACATTTGAATTTTATCAATACATATTTTTTCCTTCATTTCTATCACTTCATCCAGTATTTTTATAATACAATTGGCCAAGTTGCAATTCATTTAGAAGTTGTGATTTTTAAAAAAAAAAAAAAATGAAGTAGGCCACCTAAAATTGAAGAGGCTTGGTGCTATCTTATTTGAAAACTGTAATAGTTGATTCTTGATTGTAATAATGATCAACCGACCTATATCAAAAAAAAAAAAAAAAGTTAGTGCTACCTCACGATTTCAAACAATTAGATCTTTATTGCATAATCTTCAGTGTAGAAAATTATTTAACCTCCAATTGAAGAAATATAGAACTGGGATAAGCGACAACAATAAAGTTACCAATTGAAAGAATATTTTTATAATGCAAGTGGCCAGGTTGCAATTTTTTTGGAACTTGTAAAATTTTAAAAATTGAAATAGTCCACATGAAGTTGAAGAAGTAGGTGAGTGCATGAACGCGACATATTTTTGATTGAGCATAATTTTCTGAGGCCGGCTGCCCAAGTGATAAAAGTCTATGGCAAACGAATTTAAAAAGTGCTCAAATTAATAGTCGCTCAGCAAAGTAAATTCAAGATCATAATTGAAGGACATAAAGTATAATTTATCCACACTTACATGTTTAGGATCATGCAAAATATATATATATTTGAGAGATCTATATATTTTCTATTCTGTTTTCTCTAACTTTTTGTACTTTACATAAACATAATAAAATTTAGTTGTCATCGACTGATTATGTTATTAAAGTGAGGCAAAATTATTGATTGTGTGACAATTTTTTTTTACATCTAATTAACTTGACAAGTTGGAATTCTATTTCTCAATTTTATTGAAAATGGATAAACCTAAGAATTTAACATTAGCAATAACTCATTGAATGTCTCTCAACTGAATAAAAATTTATGATTATTCTGCCATTTACACCCCCCCCCCCCCTCATAGAAAAGTTTTGGCTTTGTCGCCACCTCTAATTATAAGATATATAGAAACTAAGACAAATCGCAANAATTTATGATTATTCTGCCATTTACCCCCCCCCCCCCCCTCATAGAAAAGTTTTGGCTTTGTCGCCACCTCTAATTATAAGATATATAGAAACTAAGACAAATCGCAACAGTTAAGTTTCCAAGAGAAACAATCTAACTAATAAGATAGCTAGATATTTGAATTTTATTCACACAATTTTTTTTTTTTTTTCATTTCTATCCCATCACCTAGTATTTTTATAATGCAAGTGGCCAAGTTGCAATTCATTTAGAACTTGTCAATTTTGTTTTTTATAAAAATAAATGTAGTAGGTCACCTAAAATTGAAGAAGCCGGTGAATACCTTATAAGGGACATACTATATATTTATTGAGCATAAAGCCGGCAGCCTAAGGGTAGAAGTCTATGGCCGGCATCTTTAAAAGTATGTTTTTCTTGTAGCGACTATTAAACAGAGAAAAAAATGAAAGTTATAATAATTGATTCTTGATTGTAATAATAATCAACCGGCCTATACAAAAAGAAAAAAAGAAAATGAAAGTTACATTATAATTTCTATCTATGGTTGGCATTTCAATGGCAATTTTAAATTTTTGTGTCTATGTTTCACACTTCGAAATACATTGGCGTTCCCTTTTCTTGTTACTCTTCTTCTTTTGATTCAGAACTGGCGTTAACTGATGCGATTGACAATCTCTCCTTTGCTTAATAGCAGTTTCCAAATGCTAGAAGTCTCTCCTCCGATCAAGTAGGCAACTGCTCAATATCCCAGCTTTTCTTGATACATTTGCTGGTGAAACACTGAAGAATCTGTCTTTGTCTCTTTATGATACGCTCCAGCTTCAGTCATATATAGCAGATAAGAGTTCGATCTAGCCCCAAAAAGGTTCCATTTCTTGCTTTTCAATTTAATTTCAGCACCTATTCAAAAAAAAAAAAAATCACAAACTTTTTGTTCTTGTTGTTTGTTTTCATTATTGTTATTGTTGTTGGTGTTTGTTTGTTTGCTTGTTTTCTCTTCCTTGTAACAAAACTAAGGAGAAAAGGCAGGAAAAAAAAATAGAGAACTAGAAAGAAAAGAAATCATCTGAGAAATGAATATGGCCACATCTGCATTGGGTCCGATTTGGACGGCCTTTACTTATCTAAAGGATTATGACAAGAACGTCAAGGCTTTCGAGCAAGAAGTTCAAAACCTGAATGAGGATATAGTTTCTCTGGAACAGCGGGTTGACGAGGACCAACAGAACGGAAAAGTTATCCTACCAAATGTGACGTGGTGGCTTCAACGTGCTCATAAATCCGTCAAAGAGGCAAGAATTTTTCAGAATGAAGAAGACAGAGAAAATGGAAGGTGTTTGTATGGGTGGGGGTGTCTGGTGTGCCGTTACTGCCGGAGCAGCAGTGCAAAAGAAAAGACCAAGGATCTCGAAAAACTCCGTGCTGAAGCAAAGTATGTGACAGTGTCAGTCCCTGGACGTCCAGGGGAAATGGAATCTACAACCGGAGGAAATAGTGAGGAGACTAAACCACGAAGACATATTGAGGAAAAAGTAATGGCAGCTTTGGAGGATCCCGAGGTCAATATGATAGGGATATGTGGCTTGTTGGGAGTAGGGAAGACAAAACTTGCACAAGAAATTGGTGAATGGGCAAAAGAAAAGAAGCTATTTGATAAGGTCATCAAGGTAGTTGTCTCCCAGACTCCGGATCTGAAAATGATACAATGCGAAGTTGCAGAACCATTAGGCATGAAACTCACAGAAGAGACTTTGTATGTTAGAGCTGAACGGCTAAGAGATAGATTGATGAAAGCAAAAAAAGGAGTCCTCGTAATTTTAGACGACGTTTGGACAAATCTCGATTTGAAGGAATTAGGAATATTCAACTATGAAGAAGACCACGGCGGGGGATCCAAAATCATGTTGACTTCGCGGAACCGGCGTGTTTGCAGTGATATGGGTGCTGAGATTTTCATAGTAGAGCCTTTATCAAAAATAGAAGCGAGGAGTGTTTTAGCTGGGATGGCAGGCATTTCCATTGACGATCTTGAGAGGCATCCAGTGAAAAAATCGGTTGCAGATGAATGCTATTGTTTGCCACGTCTGCTTGTTATTGTTGGTACTGGACTAAAGAATAAAAGCGATTCCGTCTGGGATGATACGCATCTACAATTGAAAAGATGTACCTTCGAAACTCTCCAAGAAGTGTGTGCACATGTATACCAGCCACTCCAGTCGTGTTACAATAATCTGAAAAGCCAAGAAGCTAAGTGTCTGCTTTTGCTTTGTTGTTTACTTTCGAAATATTTTCGTATATCAATTGACGATCTCGTTATATATGGAATGGGTCTCAATTTGTTTAGAGGCATCGAATCCGTTGTGGAAGCAAGAAACAGAGTTAGTACTTTGTTTGACACACTTGAAGATGATTTCCTACTGCTAGCAAGTGATTGGAGTCCAGCATATCCCGAAATGCTTGATGTTGTTCGCGTAGGAATGTCAATCGCATTCAAGGATGTACACGACGGTTTTCTAATAGGTCGTGATGTCAACCTAAAGAAGCTGCCAACATATGAACATTCCACAGCAATGTCAATAAAATTAGATGAGAGTACCGAGCTTCCTCCAATTTTAAAATGTCTAAGGCTTGAGATTCTGCTGTTGGTATTTAAGAAATATTCATTAGAAGCTTTGCAACTACCAGACAATTTTTTTACGGAACTAAAAAAACTCAAAGTTTTAGAAATTCGGGATCTGCAAATTGCATCACTGCCACCGTCACTTGGACTCCTGACAAGCCTCCAGACATTGCGTGTAATAGGTAGTTTTTCACTGGAAAATATGTCTGTAGTTGGAAAGCTAGTGAATCTAGAAAATCTTAGCCTTTCTGTTTACACTATGGTGGTGTTACCAGAAGAGATAGGAAAGCTCAAGAAGCTCAGGTTGTTAGAGTTGAGGCACTGTAGAGGTCTCACAACAATTCCACCAGGTGTCATCGCAAGCCTCCACGAATTAGAAGCATTATCCATGATACACATGGACGGATTCAGATGGGAGGTTGAAGAAGTTGGTAAAAAGAGAAGTAACGCAAGCCTTAAAGATCTGGAGTCTTTGTCCAAATTGACTACCTTACAAATTAGCCTAGGAGAATTGGAGCTTATTCCTAGAAGCCTACGGCTTTGCTCGAAGCTGACAAGATATGCCATATCTATCGGTTTTAATGCTGATGATCTAAGACAGGATTGGCACAAATCTATGCATCTCACACTCCCCACAAGTCTACTTTTTCAAACTGGCTTAGTGAACGAATAAAGGAATCTGAAGTTCTAAATTTGAAATCTGATGGTTCAAAGAGTGTAGTGGATGAGTTGAACTTGAACGGTTTTCTACACTTGAAGGAACTGAGGATTCAAAAGTGTGGTAAGATGGAGTATCTTACTAATGCAGTGCATGGGCGGCCCCCGGCTAATATTGTTATTTTTCCAATCTTGAGTACACTTGATCTCAGCGATCTGGCTAATTTAATTGGGGTTTGTGGAGACCAACTTCCTGCAACAGGGTCCTTCAGGGAGCTAAAAGAGTTGCGGCTAAGCCGGTTACATTCACTAACACAGTTATGGAAGTGTCCGACTCAAAATGTTTGCCTTGGCAATCTTAGATTGGTTTTATTACATGAATGTGGGAGCTTGGGAAGTCTTTTATCACTCTCAATTGCTAGCGGTATGGCTCAACTCGAAGAACTCCACATAAGCAATTGTGGCAAGCTGGTAGAAGTCTTTTCAGATGAAAGTGCAGATGGAAATGTAACTAGCAAGATCAAATTCCCCAAACTAAAAACAATAGAGCTAGAAAATCTACAGAGTCTCATTCATTTTTGTGGAAGGATTGATGGCATTGAGTTTCCTCGATTGAATGGGTTGAAAGTTTGTGGTCTGCCAATGATTAAGGAATTCTACCCCAAAAGCTACAACAACAATAATTTCGTGTTGCAATCACTTTTTAATCAAAAGGTACATATCTGTATAACATGAAGAACTTAATTATTTTATTTTTTTATTTTTTCAAGGGATGGTGATGGTGGAGAGTGGTGGATTTGGGTTGAAGCATCAAGACTTTCTTGTGGTTCAATGGTCAAAATTTGACTTAATAAGCTTGATGTTTTCGTGAGTTCGAAACCTAAGTACAATTACTTTTACAAATACAAGCAATTGTATGGTTTGCACCTACCTAGTCAATGAAGGATCCAGCTCCATCAGAGGCTACCCAGTAGCCTACTCTACTGCCAGCTCCATCTGCAGCCCACTCTAGCAGTCACCCTATTCACAGATAAACTGTGGACAGCTGAAGACGGTGGGCAGTTAAAGCTTTGACAAAATTTGCCAAAAATATTTAATTGTGTTCTCTCTTCCTTGACTTATTTGGCCAGAAAACTCCTTATAAATAGGAAGTTTAGTGAAGGCTAAATATGCACAAGATCAGTGAGGAAGAAACAAAGAGAGAGAGAGAGATTCGGGAGTGATCTCAGTGAGAATTTATGTATATTCTCCTCTTTATTTATATCTTGTTTATGGTATATTTATGGCCCTGGGTAACCAACAAGTGGTATCAGAACTTCGGTTGAGTCGCCGAAAAATTTTCAAACTCACTGTTTTTTGGTTCGTACGGGTTCTAAACGAACTCGAAATCAAATTTTGAGTGCACCACTGGATTCCTCTCGTCAAAACGAGTCGGACCCCATTGGCCTTGCATCAATCTGACATTGTACGCACTCTCACGGTCCTCGTCGGAAGTTTGTCGAAAAATTCACTGACAATCGGAGTTGCTGTCGGAGCTCACTAGAGATCGCCAGAGTTGCTACTGGAAGTTTGCCGAAAAATTTCGCCGGACCGGTGATCGGAGCAAGGTTGAAGATGACGGAATATTCCACTCTGTCAAAGAATATTCTCAGAGCATATTCCATCCAGGGAATATTCCGTCACCGTTAACATATTCCGTCAAGTTTAACGGAATATTCCGTTAAATTACCAAAAACTTTTCGAGTCAATTCTGAACTCAATTTAGCTCTGTTTTTGGTAAACTAGAACTCTTTTCCAGCTATTTCAACCATTTTGGACGCAACGGTGCACTCCGTTTTGTAAAATTCAATCCCAAGTTTTTTTTGATTGAGACATTTAGAGCCCAAAACTCAAAATGTCCACGGATGATTCAACATTGGGAGCCATGATCAAACTCACTGCCTCTAATTATACACTTTGGAGACCTCGGATGGAAGATCTTCTATGCTGTAAAGACTTGTATGATCTCTTGGAGGCAAAAGGTGTAAATCCAGATCCGACAAAAGAAACGGAGTGGAAGAAACTGAACAAAAAAATTATCGGTCAAATCAGGCAATGGATTGACCACAATGTATTCTACCATGTTGCACAAGAGACAGATGCATATGTCCTCTGGAAGAAGCTGGAAGATATGTACCAAGCCAAGACTGCTCGGAATAAAGCCCTTTTGATGAGGCGATTTGTGAATTTGAAGTTAAAAAGTGGAACTTCAATTGCCGAGCACACTAGTGAGTTCCAGAGTCTGGTAAATCAATTATCATCGATAGAGTTGAATCTGGGGGATGGAGTTCAAGTTCTCTTACTTCTCAGTTCTCTACCAGACAACTAGGAAACGCTGGTAGTCTCTCTCAACAATTCGGCTCCAAGAGGCAAACTTATCATGTTAATGGTTAAGGATCCCTTGTTCAATGAGGAGGCCAGAAGAAAGGATGTTGGCATTGACTAGTCAAATGCCCTAGTCACTGAGAATAGAGGCAGACAAAAAGGAGGTAGCAGAGGCAGGGGAAGAGGAAGAAGTTAGAGTAGGGGAAAGTCACAAGATCTAGGGAGATCAAATGACGGAGGAAGACCTACATACAAGTGTTACCATTGTGGCTTGCAAGGCCATATGAAGAAAAACTGCCGCAAGTTGCTACGAGAACAAGACCAAGGCAATAATCAGCCGAAGAAACAAGACGGAGATACACTAGTCACTCTCACAGTGGACGTGGCTATTCTTTCTATCAATGAGGAGACATGCCTTCATTTTTCTAACCATGACGCTGAGTGGGTGGTAGATACTACAACTTCATACCACGTCACTTCTCACAGCGATTTCTTCTCATAATACAAAGCCAGAGACTTTGGTACTATGAGGATGGGAAACACCAGTTATTCCAAGATCGTGGAAATTGGTGATATTCAGATAAAAATAAATGTTGGCTGTACATTGGTACTGAAGGATATCCGACACGTGCCCGACCTTCGGCTAAATCTACTTTCCGGGATAGCCCTTGATAGATAGGGCTACGATAACCACTTCAACAATGGCACATGGAAGCTCGTGAAAGGTGTCATGGTTGTCGCTCGAGAACATATTTGTGGCACGCTTTACAAGACCCATGTGAAGGTTGGCTCAGACAGCCTTAATGCATTTGAAAATGAGACTTCACCAAATCTGTGGCACTAGATACTCGGTTACATGGGGGAAAAATGATTGTTTACTTTGGCAAAGAAGGATCTCATCACGGTTGCCAAGAATGTTACACTAAATCCTTGTAATCATTGCTTGTTTGGTAAACAACATCAAGTCTCGTTCAGTTCCTCTATGAAGAGGAGATCAGAGTTGTTAAGCCTAGTACACTCTGATGTTTGCGGTCCCCTGGAGGTGGAATCATTGGGTGGCAATAGATATTTTCTGACCTTTATTGATGATGCTTCACGGAAGGTATGGGTGTACTTCCTAAAGACGAAGGATCAAGTACTCGAATGCTTCAAAAGAAGACTTCATGCTATGGTAGAGCGAGAAACAGGAACGAAGCTAAAGTGTCTCCGAACAGACAATGGAGGCGAATATACTTCCAGAGAGTTGGAAGCATACTGTGCAAATTATGGTATCAGACATGAGAAGACTGTTCCACGTACCCCACAACACAATGGAGTAGCGGAGAGGATGAATCGAACCATTGTGGAAAGAGCCCAATGCATGCTCAGTATGGCAAAGCTACCGAAGTCATTCTGGGGTGAAGCTGTTCGTGTCGCCTGTTATCTGATAAACAGATCACCCTCAGTACCATTGAATTTTGATATTCCGGAGAAGGTGTGGTCTAGTAGGAATCCCTCCTATTCTCATTTAAGAATTTTTGGGTGCAAAGCATTTGCACATGTATCCAAGGAGCAAAGGCAGAAACTTGATGTCAAGACCACTCCGTGCATCTTTGTAGGCTATGGAGATGAAGAATTTGGATACAGATTGTGGGACCCAAAGGCCAAAAGGATTATCAGGACTAGAGACGTGGTGTTCCATGAAAACCAGGCGTATAAGGATTTTGAAAATCCCACAAAGTCCAGTAGTCCTAGTTCCAGTGCACAGGACATTGCTCCAGACCCTGCACCATTACAGTTCGCCATAGACAATAACGAAGTGCAGGATGAAACTACAGAAGCAGAACAAGATGATTATGAAGATGTTGAGCAGGGGGAGCAACAACCCCCTCCACTTGTTGTTGCAGGACCATCACAACAACCAGAGGATGATGTACCTCATATAGCTAACAAGCCTCAATCACGAAGATCCGAAAGAGGACGCATTCCGTCGAGTAAATATCCGGAGTCGGACTATATTCTGCTTACTGATGAGGGAGAGCCACAGAACTTCCAAGAGGCACAAGCTCATACGAATAAAGACAAGTCGATGCAAGCCATGTAGGATGAGATGAATTCTCTACAGACAAATCAAACCTATGAGCTTGTGAAACTTCTAAAAGACAAGAAAGCACTGAGGAATAAATGGGTGTTCAAGCTGAAGAAAGATGGTAATGGAAAATTGGTGAAGTATAAGGCTCGATTGGTCGTTAAAGGATTCCAACAGAAGAAAGGAATTGACTTTGACGAAATTTTCTCACCAGTTGTTAAGATGACCTCAATTCGAGTCATTCTCGGATTAGTAGCCAGTTTAAACTTGGAGCTTGAACAAGTGGACATGAAAACTACATTTCTTCATGAAGATCTAAATGAAGAAATCTATATGGAACAACCAGAAGGTTTCAAGGTTCCAAGAAAAGAGAATCTTGTCTGCAAGTTGAAGAAGAGTTTGTATAGCCTCAAGCAAGCATCCAGATAGTGGTATAAGAAATTTGACTCATTCATGGTGGGTCAAGGTTACAAGAGGACTGCTGTTGATCAGTGTGTTTACATTAAGAGATTCTCGGATGGTAATTTTGTTGCACTCCTAGTTTATGTTGATGACATGTTGATCGTCAAAAAGGATACAATAAAGATTAGCCAGTTGAAGAAGGAACTGTCCAAGTCCTTTGACATGAAGGACTTAGGCCCAGCTCAACAGATACTAGGTATGCAGATTGTTCGTGATAGGAAAACCAAGAAATTGTGGCTATCACAGGAAAAATACGTTGAATGGGTGATCCAGAGGTTCAACATGGATACTGTCAAGCCAGTCAACATCCCACTGGCTAATCATTTCAAGCTGAGCAAGAATTCATGTCCCTCATCAAAGAAGGAGATAGAAGATATGACACTGATTCCTTACTCTTCAGTAGTTGGGAGTCTAATGTATGCAATGGTATGTACAAAGCCAGATATTGCTCATTCAGTGGGCATGGTGAGCAGATTTCTTTCCAATCCAGGGAAAGAACACTAAGAGGCGGTCAAGTGGATTCTCAGATACCTTAAGGGTATATCGAAGATATGCTTGTGTTACGGGGAAGTTGAACCAGTTTTGGAAGGCTATACAGATTCAGATATGGCAGGAGATCTTGATGGTAAAAATCTATATCAGGATTTCTTTACACTTTTGTAGGGGGAGCTGTGTCATGGCATTCAAGGTTGCAGAAGTGCATAGCTTTATCCACGATAGAGGCAGAGTATATTGCAGCAGCGGAAGCTATTAAAGAAATGTTGTGGTTAAAACGGTTTCTCCAAGAACTAGGTATTAAGCAGAAGGAATACAAGGTGCATTGTGATAGTCAAAGTGCTCTGGACTTGAGCAAAAACTCAATGTACCATTCCCGGACGAGCATATTGATATTCGTTATCATTGGATATGCGAAGTGATGGAGCAACAGTTACTGAAACTAGTGAAGATCCATACAAAGGAGAATCCAGTAGACATGTGGACAAAGGTCGTTACTCGGGATAAGCTTGAGCTGTGCAGAGACATAGCCGGGATGAATGTCTGATTATATTCTCTTTTGATGGTTCTGGAGGGGGAGATTTGAAGGATCCAGCTCCATCAGAGGCTACCTAGCAACCTACTCTACTGCCAGCTCCATCTGCAGCCCACTCTAGCAACCACCCTATTCACAGATAAACAGTGGATAGCTGAAGACGGTGGACAATTGAAGCTTTGACAAAGTTTGCCAAAAACATTTAATTGTGTTCCCTCTTCCTTGACTTATTTGGCCAGAAAACTCCCTATAAATAGGAAGTTTAGTGAAGGCTAAATATGCACAAGATCAGTGAGAAAGAAACAAAGAGAGATAGATTTGGGAGAGATATCAGTGAGAATTTATGTATAAATTCTTGTATTTTATTTCCAGAGAGAAATAGAAATATCCTCTTTGTTTATATCTTGTTTATGGTATATTTATAGCCCTGGGTAACCAATAGTCAACCCCTCCCATACCCCCTCTTCCCAATTAATAGGGACTAAATTAGGTGTTATTAATATATTTTTTGTTAGTTATGACAAATTTGTGATCAATTTTTTCAATCTGCGGTTGGGTAGGGACTCTCTTATACTTTGATATGATTTGAAGTTTCATAAATGAATTAAAGTTTAGGATAAAAATGGAGGCCTTGAAATTTGGCCAAATTCAATTAGAAAGAAGAAAACTCTCAACAAAAATATATTTGAAGGGTCGGCAATCTGAACATATAATCTAAAAAAATAGTCAATGATTTTTGTACTACTTATCTAATATTTGTTTTGGAATAAGGCACATGTTAATGTGCTGTTACAAATTTTTGCAGCTTGCTTTTGGTAGCTTAAAGTGGTTGGAACTCTGTGAATTGCAAAATGTGAATGAGATGTGCTGCAGCCAAATCCAAACTAGTTCGTTTAGTAAACTTGAACATCTGCAGGTTGAATATTGCAACAATTTGAGACACTTATTCTATCCTTCCATGGCTAGGGCTCTCATGCACCTTCAACACTTGGATATAAGTAATTGCCCGGCGATGGAAGTAGTTGTAAAGGAAGAAAAAGAAGCAGAGGACGAAAGGAGGATGAATGAAACTCTGTTCCCTCAATTGAGATATTTGTTACTTTCCAGGCTACCCAATCTAAGGAGTTTTTTTCAGGTGAAACATGGGTTGGATCTTCCATCCTTATATCACTTCTCTGTCCATGCTTGCCCTGAATTGGAGGCCTTCTCTCTCGGAACCTTAGGCACACCAAAGCTGAAGGCCGTTTCATCTGATTATGGAGGTGTTTGGGTGCACAACTTTAATCCCACCATAACACTCATATATGAAAAGCAAAAGGTATGTGATTTTTTAATGCTTATTACACATGACAACATCTGTTTAATTTCTTTTCTTCTTGGAGTAACATCTACTATGTTAGACACTAATAGTCTTGGATGCTCTAATTAGAGGTAAAGTAATACTATTTAGACTTAAAATTTTGATTTTATTTGCTGGCCTAATTTATTATGATTTTTAGGGTGATTGTGGACTCCGCCAAATATTGGAACTTGCTCCTCTTACAACAGTTCTAATGAAACCATATCATCAGGTTAGTAAATATGATCAAATTTTTAGTTTTAGTGGTATCATTGCAATTTTAACTATCATAATGACTCAAAAACCCAAGAGGAATGCATTGTGGTCATTTAATTGATAGTCGAATGAATTTAGTGCTCGGAACTACTGACATTCTAATGACCACAACCATTATCTGGCTTCAAATTGCTCATTTTTTGTCCTGCCTTTTGCAATGGCTTTAACCACAATCATTTTTTGTCCTGCCTTTTCCTATGTTTTCCTATGCTTGCTCATTTATTGGATGTTAATGTATTTGCCAGTGGTTTGTTTGCATAGGAATATGTTGACATCACTGAGGTGTTCAAAACATTATTTCATTTAACAACTTTTGGTATAATTATTATTATTTTTATTAAAGTTCACTTTAATTTAAGGTTTATATGATTTTGTTCTTGGAAATCTTGCAGAGATTTGAATTTGTTCCTCCACCATTAAAGGAGAGTTTGCCGGGACCAGTTGTTGTGGACCAATCTTCCCAATCATCAGAAGGAGGACCTCTAGTCCACCCTAAACCGAAACAAGCAAAGCCGAAATTGAATGTTCATCGAATAACAAATCGTAAGAGTATTAAATATCTTACCCAGTTCCCGGAAGTTATAAGGCCCTTCATTGCTAGAGTCATTGATGTCCCTGGAGATGGACATTGTGGGTTTCGAGTGGTTGCCAAGTTCATGAACTTGGAAGACAATGGTTGGAAGAAAGTGAGGAAGGATCTACTATATGAGGTGGAGACATTTGAAACCGATTACTTGCGAGTATTCACCGGTGAAAAACATGTGGCCGAATTAAAGCACTCCACTCAATGTGAGGATGCTAATGCTGATAGAGAACACTGGTTGATAACGCCGGATATGGGACATGTGATTGCCTCATGCTATTACATTGTTGTAGTCTTCATATCAAACCTGCAATGTCTCACTTTTTTGCCCCTCCATCAACAAGCACCTCCAGAAACAATCCATCGGATTCTCGGATTGGGTTACGTCAACTCAAATCATTTCGTCGGACTTGAATTTACTCGAGACTCCCCTTTACCACCTGTGTCGAACCTATGGAATGATCATCACAATGAACTGGCCAAAGGGTGGATTACTCCATATGTGAAGCGGATCGAGAAGTTCCAGGCTATGTTAGAAAACCATACAAATGTTGCAACTGTAGAAAATCTGACGGCTTAGCTTAAAACAATGTTAATTTACTTTTGTTTTTGCAAAATTGTAATGCATATACGTTTGTTATGAAGTTAATGCAATGTTAATTGGTGAACTTTTGCAAGCCTACCTGAATTCATTACTTTCATGCGTAGAAAATATATAACAAGCACTCTAATTAGGTTCCGATGCTCATGACAAACTAATAACAATCGTGTACTCTTCAGTTCCAAATTCACCAAGATCTAATTAAGTTAAAAAAAGAGATATCAAATTAATTAAGTTATACTTGAACTTAACCCCAGATGCTACCTATAGAATACACCCCAAGCACTTCAACAATCTTTCATAGCATGGGAAAGCAGTGGTTGCGATGAGTCTTGAAAGGAAAGCAGAGACTATGAATGCCAATGTCTACAAGGAGAATGTAACAAAAGCAAAATGATCTATTTCACACCTACATATTTCTAGTTTTCCTGATTTAAAGGACCAAAGATCAAAATTTTAGTCTAACCATACCGCCAGTATACTACACCCGTTCATTATGGTTGTAATAGCAAACTACTAAACCTATTACTGTAATTTTAAAAAAACTGAGTCTATTTGAAAATTTGAGAAATTTTGCATTTTTAAGAATTTGCCCCATTGAAAAGTTTTTTAAAAAAAAGAGGGGTAGATTTGCATTTTTTAGGTTTTGTTGGTAGATGCAACAAGTGACCATAGCAAGGTTGACTTGGTTCATACAATCTTCTAATTTGATCTATTTTCTCTTATTTTCATTCTTCCTTCAGTGCTTTCAGAGGTTTTGACAAGCATTATTTCAAGCAGTGAGCTATAGTGGTTAAAGAAGGGATATAGGAGCAGAGCTAGTGAAGCCTTGTGTTAGGATGTTGCAGAATGATCAGGGATTTGGTTGAATTTCGAAGTCCTTTTAACATTGGTAATTTCATCCTTGTCATTGGACAAAGAACAACTAAAGCTCAAAACAATCCAGAATTTCCTTAGTTACTCAAGTTATGTGAGAAAGGACAGGCTCTTAATTCAAACTCCTGGACTCTCTCTCTCTCTCTCTCTCTCTCTCTCTCCCTCCCTCCCTCAGTGTGTACATGTGCAAGTGCGCGTGTGTGATGTTTCTGTGCCCAACACAGCACTAGTAAAAACTTTTCAGCCATCCTATACCACCCTGTCTTAGGTGCAAGATAGCATATGGAGATTTCAGAGTTTCTCAAAGTGGAGGAGCAGCAAGAAGGTGATATGAAATATAGAAGATGAGATCTATAAGGTAGAGATCATCGGAACATCATGTAGCTTCCAACTCATTGCTATCCCCTCTCAAGACCCCCCTTAAAGACAACCAAATTGTGCTAACAAAAGTCCAACAATCAATTTCAATCCTGATCTTAGGATCCCAAATTCAGAAAAGTCGCCCAAGCCAAATCAAAACATATGGAGCTCGGGGCCCAAAATATTGCCACAATATCTACCATAGATCTTTCCATTTTTAAGGTTTTGCCACTGATCTTAGGATCCCATTTAAAAAAGTTGATGGGATCCACTGATCCAATAGTTCCCTTCATTTGGGATACAAATTTGGGTTACATAGTATTTCCCTTTGTGTAATGCCCTTTGTGAATCCCAAAACAAAGCCTTTAAGTTTCCATGGAAGATAGTGAAGGACTACTAAGGCATTTGTGTCACATATTATGCAAAAGAATCTTATCTAGGCATAAGTTTTTTTAAAAGAACAAATAACTTGCAAACTATTGCGACATCAGAATTTTAGTTTATAAATATTAGAAATATTAGCCTAATTTAATAGTAGTGGACTAAAAATGACTGACCTTTAATTTTTCCTTCCTTTCCCTTCTTTTGAAGCTCGTACACAGTGTCAACTATCACCTTCTGCTCCTCTGCATTGAAAACACCAGTATGCAACTCAAGTCCAGCGACAAAATTCATCATTTTCTCATTAATGATCTCTATTCTTCCAAAGTCTTTCTTCCTCTTGATCTCCCCAAGCCGTATACAATCGCTTTGCTCCCATGGGAGTAACACCCTTGACGTATCAGCAGGCACTAGTGAATCACTCTTTTTGCTTCGTCGAGGGGTCAAAAAAGGTCTCCAACCACCCAATTGTGCCATCCTCCCAACTACCCAAATGAATTCGTATCTATTTTCTGCAAAAAATTAAAATAAAAAAGAAGATGAATTTATGTTTGCTGTAACACTCATATCCAACTGCCTTTCTGACTCCTAAATGGATTCAGGAGATAACATTCTTGATTGTCATTGTATTCATTATAATCCATATCCTTCAGAGTTGAGACAGTAATATGGTAAAAAAGTTTGATGATACCCTAGGTCGAGCACTAAGCCTCATGAAATTTTCTTTAAATCCTCAAACTATATCTATAAGCAACTAACTGAATTTCAAATAAAACTACTCATCACAGGCCTATAATTGTTTCTGATAGAAGAAGATGTCGTATTTTGTGGTTTAGACAACTAGCGTTTTTTGCACTTTAATAATGATAGAAGCCAAATGAAGTGCATCATCATTGCAAAGAAGTTAATCATTAGCAGAATTTACAGCACAAATGAAGTGCAAAGAAGCCAAATGAAGTGCATCATCATTGCAAAGAAGTTAATCATTAGCAGAATTTACAGCACAAGGTGGAAGCCACAAGTGCAGATCCAGTCATCATTCTGCCATCCTTTTGGAGCGGTCAGAAGTTGGTTTGCTTGGTTTCCATACGAAAGACTAGAAAATTGGTTCGCAGCAAAAGGCCAAATAGAATTTGGCTGTACTCCATAATTATTCGCAGGCAGAACTCCATGAATATTAGCCCCGCCAATGCAATCAAAATGGCAATGCAAATATTAAGGGATAGGGTAGTGATTTGACTTACGACCACGTTATTTTTAAGAAGTTGATTTTACCACCTTTGCCTTACCTACTCATGTAGACTATTGTAATAGGTAGTCCCATTAATATCTAATGGTTGTGGTTGTGCTGCAGCAAATGCTAAAAAAATTGATAAGGAAAACTAGTTAGAGCAGCATTTCTATTTCTTTTAGTTTGAACTGATTTAGTTTTAAGTTTGGAGAAGTGTAGAGTCAAACTTTTTGGTCTAATTATGGCATTTGTTTGTATTTATTTAAGTCTGTTTTTCATATTGGAAATACTTGGCTAGAAAGTTTCTTTGGGACAAATTAAATTCCTTTAATTAAGTACTATGTAACTATATATCTGCTCTGAAAAGATTGACATTATGTGTCTGTATTTTATATTTTATGCTGTAATTCTCTGCTCTAAGCTCATAGAATTAAGCCTATCTACAGGAAGTTAATTATTTTGGTTTCTATTTGTCGGAACCCAAATGTAATGGTCTTAGTTCTTCCTAATTTGAAGAAAACATATTTGAAGATTTTGATACATATTTTGTCGTATACATCACCAAATCACTACAACATTAGGTTTCTCACTCCGAAGTTACATCAGTTGGTATTTGGGCATCAAAGATCCATGTTAACTTGCTATTATCTTTTTGTCATAAAAGTGACCAATGCTGACCAAGATGACAAAATCCTAAAAATCATGGCGAAACAGTTTGATCGTCCAACAAAAAAAAAACACTTCAACAAATTGAAGAATCGATGACCTGACCGCTCTCATGAAAAGGCTAGGACAATCAAGGCAAAGGATACATAACCCTTCACATTCATGTGTAGCTGATGGTAAATAGTCTCAAATACTACTCAAAAGTCATATTTACAATACATGTGCACTGGTGCACTCATGGAACCACATGCAAATTGTTAAGTTGAGAGAATTAACATAATACAATATTAGAGACAATATTAAAGTGAAAGAGAGAGGTTAACAAAATTTAATCTAACTCTCATACATCACTTGTATTTATAGTTAACCTATAATAATAAGAATTACACATACACCCTCTTACTATTAAAAATTTACACATACTACCTTACTATTCTTAACACTCCCCCTCAAGCTGAATTATATCTATCATATAATTCAAGCTTGGAATAAATAACTGTAAGATGTGGAGGACTCAATACTTTGGTAAATATATTTGCAAACTGATCTTCAAATTTTACAAATGGAGTTGTAATCTTCCCAACTACTATCTTGTCCCGAATAAAGTGACAATCAACCTCAATATGCTTGGTTCTCTTGTGAAACACAGGATTGACAGCGATATGAATAGTTGTCTGGTTGTCACAGAACAACTGCAAAGGAAGTTGAACTGAAAACCCAATTTCCTGAAGGAAATGTAATAGCCAAGACAACTCATTCGTCGTATGTGTCATTGCCTTATGCTCAGCCTCGATACTGAATCTTGCTACCACAGATTGTTTCTTATTTTTTCATGAGACAACATTACCTCCTAAGAAAGTACAATAACTAGTGGTTGATCTCCGATCAAAAGGAGAGTCAGCCCAATCAACATCTGAGAAACCTTCTACTCTAAGATGTCCATTAGCTCAATATAACAGTCCAAATCCAGGAGCTCGTTTGAGATATCGCAGAATACGAGAAACTGCCTCCCAATGTGGTACTCTAGGACATCCCATAAATTAATTTACTATACTAACTGCATAGGAAATATCCGGTGGAGTCATAGTGAGATAATTAAGCTTACCAACCAATTTGCGATATCGACCCGGATTCTCAAACAATGCACCATCATCCATCAATAATTTCTAATTCGAATCCATAGGAACATCAATCGGTCTACCACCTAGCAAACCTGCTTCCTCAAGCATGTCAAGTACATATTTTTTCTAAGATAAACAAATACCCTTTTTAGATCGAGTCACCTCAATACCTAAGAAATACCTGAGTTTTCTCAAATTCTTAGTATGAAATCGATTCTGTAAAAATATTTTTAACTTGACAATTCCCTCAGAATTATTTTCAGTAATCACAATATCATCTATATAGACCACCAATAGGACATATACAACATCTGTCTGTCTATAAAACACAAAATGATCTGTCTGACATCGAAGAAGATCAAACTCTAAAACTACATCTGAAAATTTACTAAGTCATGCCCTTGATGACTGCTTCAAACCATACAAAGATTTTTTTAACCGACATACACTTTTACCATACTCTCCCTGAGTAGTAAACTCAGGTGACTGCCCCATGTATACCTCTTCAACCAAGTCACCATGTAGGAAGGCATTCTTGATGTCTAACTAAAACAAAGGTCAATCAAGATTAGTAACCAAAGAAATTAAGATACGAACAGAGAAAATTTTGGCAACAAGAGAAAAAGTCTCCACATAATCAACACCATAAGTATGAGTAAAGCCCTTTGCAACAAGTCGGGTTTTGAGACACTCCACAGAATCATCTGAACGAAATTTAACAGTATACACCCAACGACAATCAATAGTTCATTTACCAAGGGGTAAAGGAACAAGATCTCAAGTCTCATTATGATATAAAACATCCATCTCCTCCTCCATAGCTTTCTTCCAACTCGGATCAGATAATACATTCTGTAAATGCTTAGGAATAAATATAGTAGACAATTGGGAAGTAAAACAGGAGAAAACAGGAGACAAAGCATCATATGAAACAAAATGAGAAATGGGATGATGTGTAACACACGAACGAGTCCCTTTGCGAAGAGCAATAGGTAAAGAGTCTAAATTACCTAATGGACCAAGATCAGAAGGCGGTACAGCGAGAGTAGACATGGAGAGGTAAAATAGATGATAACACAGTGGGCAGCAAAATATCTGAAGATGAAGAAAGAAATGGTGGTATAGGAAAGGATCCAAAGTCCAAATCCAAAGGCTGAGAAGGTCCTGGAAAGTATGGAACATACTCTTCAAATGTGACATCGGCACTAGTAAAGTATCGGTGCAGAGAAGGACTGTAGCAATCATACCCCTTTTGCGTGTGGGAAAAATCAAGAAATACACATTTGATAGCTCGAATGTCAAGTTTATCAAACTCAGGACCCAAATTGTAAACATAACAGACACAATCGAAAACCTTTGGAGTTAGGAAAAATAAGGGCTTACCAGAAAAAAGAACAGAATATGGATTTTGCCCATTTAACACAGTGGATGACATACGATTAATAAGATGACAAACAATAAGAACAACATCACTCTAATAATATCGGAGAATATTCATCTGGAATAACAGAACACGGGTGACTTCTAACAAATGACGGTTCTTACGTTCAACAACACCATTTTGTGGAGAGGTGTAAGTACAAGAAGTTTGATGAATAATACTAGTTTTACTAAGATAAGTTGAAAAAGGATCAGATTCATATTCCCGAGCATTATCGAAACGTAAAGTACGTATACGACAACTAAACTGAGTTTTTATTTCCTTACAAAAAATTTTAAATATAGAGAATAATTCAAACCCAACTTTCATCAAAAATAACCATGTCACGCGAGAATAGTCATCCACAAATGTCATAAAATAAGGATATTTATTAGATAAAATGTTCTTTATTGGACCCTATACATCAAAATAGACTAATTTAAATGGACTAGACACACGATTATTGACTCTAGACTGAAATGACACACGGTGATACTTACTAAGTTGACAAGCTTCACAAGATAAAGATGACACATAACTAAGACTGGGAACTTGGCACTTCAAATTCTGGAGAGAGGGATGTCCAAGACGACAATGTCTTTGAAAAGGACACAACGAGGTCTATAAAGCTCGGGTAGGTGAATCAAAGTCAAGGTAATATAGACCACCAGCTTCTGCCTCATACCAATCTTCCTCTTCGTCTTGAGATCTTGAATAACAAAATAAGAGGGATAAAAGATTACAGAACAATTGAGAGAATGGATAACTTTGATAATAGAAAGTAAACTAAAAAAAAACTGAAGAACAAATAACACAGAAGATAAGGACATATCAGGACTCAAATGAGTAGTCCCTAGACCTAAAACTTAAAACAAGTACCATTAGCAAGAATAACACTACATGTAGAAGTAGCAGACTGATAAGTAAAAAAAACATCAGACACACCAGTCATGGGATCAGAAGCGCCAGAGTCTATAATCCAGGGACTGCGAGTGGAGGACAATAAACAAGTGGAGGTAGTACCTGACTGGGCAAAAGTAGCAGTGGAGGAAAATGGAACAACCTGCTGATGGGACAGAAACTGAGCATACTCCTCCCGTGTAAGAGTAACTGATAAAAAATCAGGTGGAGCGGATCGAGATATAGCGACAGGAGTCGAGGTGTTATCCTAAAAAAACACCTGATTAGCAACACTCGAAGGCTTGCCATATAAATTCCAGTAGTAATCAACAGTGCGGCCTCCACGACCACAGTGAGAGCATGAACGAGACCCTGAACGCCCTCCACAACCTCCAGTATGGCTTCCTCGACCGCCGCGACCACCACGATTACCACGGCCACCTCAAGAATTATCACCATGGCTACTCGAGACAACAAGAGCTGAACGATCAACAAGCACACCAGACTCAGTGTCGGATGAACCGGTAGAGAAAGTAGCACGTTGCAGGCAGGAGAAAACCTCCAGTAGAGATGGAAGACTAGAACCACCCAAAATCTGAGAACGAATAGACTCGTACTCAGGTTTCAAACCAACTAAAAATCAAACAACATTCAAATCCTCATGTTGTTTCTGTCAAACCGCTGCATCAATAGTAAAGGGGTGGTAGAGCTTCAACTCCTCACACACTCCCCGAACATGAGAGTAATAATGCTCAAGACTCAAAGTACCCTTGCTCCAGACGAAAATACTGTTTGTATACTTTATATGCACAAGTGAAATTCTTAGTGCCAGAATACATGGTGGCTAAGTGATCCCATATCTCTTTGGCCGTGTTAAGATAAAGCAAAGTAGAACTGATACTGGGCTCAATACTATTCAATAGCAATGAAATAATTTAAGCATCTTCTTGTTCCCATTTATCATACCCGGGAGTATCTTCCTTGGGTTTAGTGTCCACTAAATATTTCTTTAAGCCTTTACTTCTAAGAAACACTTGAACAAATCATGACCACAAAAACAACGCTGCTGGAGTGATGAACTGGATCAAACAAAACTGCTCAAGCACTGAACAAAACCTGAACAATGTACTAAGTGCCTGAACCGGACCAAAAATAGTGGTTGAATACCTGAACCTGGTGTGAAACACTTGCTAGATATAAGAACCAGATCAGAGAAGGCTAAGGGATGGCTGAACCGGAATAAGAAAGGCTACTGACCGCCTGAATCGGGCCAAGAAAACTGGCTAAAAGTCTGAACCGGACAGGAAACAGGTGCTATATTACTAAAATCGGTGCGAACTAGCCTAGAAGAACTGAACAAAGCTGAATCGGAACTGATCAGGTCCTGAACCGGACTAGATGATGAAGAACCAGGTCTGAACCGGACCAAATAGTGAAGAACCAGGTCCGAACCGGGAAAAAATCGGTCTGCTGAATGAATCGGTCTACTATTGGATTGGACCAGCTATCTCAACTGGGCTGGGTTGAACCAAACTGGGCTGGTCTGGTCTAAACCGAACAATCCAAACCCGCTGAGTCAACCTGACCCTAACCAACCCGCTAAGGATCGTCTTCTCCATTACTAAACCCTAATGCCCCTTCAGCCAACAACCAAGCAGCCAACAACCAGGCAGCCACCAACGCCGACTACACCATCGAACAACCAAATTATCCGTCGACTACGCCACCGAAACGCCACCGAAGCACCACCGACGCAGAACAGAAGCCATCACCAAAAAAAAACTTGATGAACAACACACCATCGACCACACCAATCGACTACCACCAACGTCAACCACGATAGTACAACACAACGAGCAACGAACAACACAGCAACAATGGTCACAACAAAATCGATACAAATATTAACCTTGCTCTGATACCATGTTAAGTTGAGAGAATTAACATAACACAATATTAGAGACAATATTAGAGTGAAAGAGAGAGGTTAACAAAACTTAAACTAACTCTCATACATCACTTGTATTTATAGTTAACCTATAATAATAAAAATTACACATACACCTTCTTACTATTAACAATTTACACATACTACCCTACTATTCTTAACACAAATAATTCAAGAGACCCGAGAGAGAGAGAGAGAGAGGGGGGGGGGAGAGCTAGACGCTAGGGCTCATATACATGAACAACCAAGCATGATTAAGAATGCTAGGGGAAGCAACATATCTTTTTTCGAAAATCATGAGGGTCATCATTATGTAACCAAGAAACCAACCAGTCAGACACAAGGGTGATGTACTTGATTTTAAGGGGAAAATGAACCTAGAAATATTCTTGATTGGCTGCTCTCTAGCATGGACAAGTTTTTTTCTTGGCATGAACTTAATGAATTACTGAAAGGAGAAAAGGGGCAATTGAAATGTAGTGGACAAGAATTCAAGAAGCCAACAATAAAAGATGTGGGAAAGTGGAAACAGCCACATGAGATGTGAAGAAAGGTCTTCCAGAAGGTAGATTCCTTAGCATGGACTCCGAACTAAAACTATGTGTGCAGTTTCATTGTCTTCAACAAAGTGATGACAGTGTTAAATTGATTAAACCGAGAATTTTTACAAGTTGTCCTTGAGGGCAGGAATTTATGAAGCTGGGGAAGTCCTTACAACAATTACTAGGCTAATCAATGCATTGTTATCCATGATGAGATGGATTTTTTTAGACAAGATTGTAGGGAAGACATATCAAGTTGCTTCAAAGAAAGATCAGAAATTAAAAAACCAATTCATGGAGGGAAATAAAAACTGGGTTGAATTTCAAATCCTAATAACAAAGCATACCCTCACTAAGAAGATTGACACTTAAAAATGACTACATTGAAGGTAAAAAGGTCATTCTCACAGGCTCGGAAGTACCCAAGTCTAGTCCACACGAAGGCCCTTTTACTCCCATTAAGTCCTTGCGAGAGCTATTCCTAAGATGTGTCTAGTTCATGGAATCTCAAACAATTGAAATTCCAGAGTAATAATATCCTAAATTAGTCCACATAAATTACACATCCAAAAGTTGCCCACCATCTATATTCTATCAAGGCTTTCAACCATAAATATTATCTCATTAGTAGTGGAAATCATACCGCAAATATGAGGCAAAACAATACCCCAAGCAGCATGTACTGATAATAAAACCAAATACAATGTTATAAAACATCTAAGAAGTCTCTGGCCAGGGCATACGAAAATTAGAAGCACACACCAAACACGAAGTATTCTGAAGCCCAACATTGTTGTTTAGGAAGATCAATGGCCAAACTACTGCGGCGAAATTCTACACAATGCGAACCAGACACGGCCTATTAATAGCCCCACCTTTATCCATAGTGCTCAAACTGGCTGATTTCATATCAGATTATTGTATCAAAAATTGCCGACCCTAAGTATACATTGTTATAACAGGAAGGATTTTTCGTACATATAGAGGGTAATCGTCTCAATCGGCTTCACCAGATTAACCATTGAAATAGTCATAATTGGAAGAATTTTGGTTTCATCACCATCGCGGGACTGCTTGCACTTGCCGCAGCAGGACTCTCTCTGCTCCTCCTCCCGCCATCGTGTTTTCCTCTTCCTCTCACATACCTCTCAATGTGTATGTGTTTTGTTTAGAGTTAACTAGCCCTTAAACTATATTGTTTAAGTCAATTAAGCCCTTCAACTTTGGTTTGTGTCAATTTAGCCCCTCAACTTGTCAATGTGTGTCAATCAAGCCCTTCCATTCAATTCAACCATTTAATGTGACGACAAACGCACGCATGGCTCACGTGAGGCAAGTTCTAGGGGTAATTAAGGAAAAATGACGCATTTTGGCGCCAAATCTTCCACAGCTTCCCCTCCTTTACAAAGCTTCCCTCCTTTTGAATGGTTCCCTCTATTTCTATGCTGGGTTTTGTAGAAACAAAGCAATATTCGACAAGAAAAAAAGGGAAGATGGAGAATCTTAGCGACAATGTAGCTGCGAAATGAAGTGAATCATCACCCTTATTTATAATGAAGCACTAGCTTGCATGCATTCAATATATATAGTCGCTATCAAGAAGAATGTTTAATACACGTTAGTCTATAGATTTTGGAGATCCCTCAACTCAGTTGCATAGTTTCCTTAATTGTCTGTGTTTTATCATGTTCCTGATTCCCTAAATTGAACCACCTGATTTTTTCTTCTTGCTCTTAGTTTACTCATAGTAGGAAATTTTGTAAGTTTTGTCTTGATATGGGAACAGAAGGAGCCTTAGAAGAAAATCTGTCTTTCCTAACTACTGGATTCTCTTTTTTTGGTACTTCATTTTTGCCCTTATTTTCATTTTTGTAGATGACTCTTTGGGGTTTTTATGTTTATGGCAGCATGAAAATGAAGTGGTTGATATCACAAAAGTGGAGGAACAGGCTACACAGTTGGAGAAAGATTTGGTTGAGCAGACAAAGACTAGGATTAAAACCGTTGAGATCAGATTGGTTGAAGCCAAAATAATGAAGGAAGCCGCTAGAGCCTCTGAAGGTATTGCTCTTGCAGAGATTAATGTCCTATCAAACAATGAGAGCACCTCTGCAGTTCTTCTGCAAAAGCCTGATGGTGTAACTTTCATTTGAGGAATACTCATCTTTAACTACCAAAGCTCGAGAGGCAGAAGAAGTTTCCAAGAAAAGAGTGATGGATGTCATACTTGAAGTTGATGAAGCTAATGTGTCAAAATCAACAAGAAGACATTTGAAGAAGCTCTGAGCAGCAAATAGAGGGAAGTTGGCAGTTGAAGAGGCTCTACGCAAGTGGTGATTTGAGCATGGTTAGAAAAGACGTTATGTACATAACTCTACCAAGTTCAAGAATTCCTACCCATCTCACCTCTGTAAAGATTCTCGTATCTTAGATGCAAATGTATTGAATTTGGTTAATGATGAGTCAAAGCCAGTTTTGAGGTCAACTCAGTCGATCGGGCAAATACTCAGCAGAAAGCTGTTGTTAACAGAAGAATATGAGAATGGGATGCAGACAGAAAAAAGCAATGGGAAGCACAAGGTGTCATTGGGTCAAATGCTTAGTAAACCCCGTGTTGATCTCTGTGCTACTACTCTAAAGGGTGAGAAGGATAGTGGTCACAAGCAAATCCCCACAAAGAGAAAGAAGTTTGGGTTTGCTCAGATCTTGCTCCTTGTGACAAAGCAAGGTAAGAAAAAGAAGAAACAAACTGCGAGTTCAAGATGCCACAATGGTTAAATCAATTGATTTAAGATCAGGAATTGACTTCTGTCTTGTATGTCTTACCCCCTTCCCCCTCCTCCTCCCCCATTATCTCATTTTCTTTGTTTCTAATTATGTTGGTGTAGTGTTAAGTTTGCATGAGTTGCTAAAGTTCCTGATCCCTTTTAGATATTGCTCCCCTTTTCTGGTGGTTGGAGGTGTAATACTGGGTTTTAAGATTATATATATAGGCAAAATCCAGTTTATCCCCTTGTGGTTTGGTCATTTTACATATCACCTCCTTGTGGTTCAATTATCAGCACATAGCGCCTTGTGTTTTTGGACTAAAGTGCATAGCTAACACCATTAACGCCTTGTGATTTAGTGATGATTTAGTGATGATGGCCAATGACTAGTGATGCAGTTGAACGGTAGGTGAAGATGAAGTGGGGTTAGAGAAGATGTGGTGACAAAGTTTATTCCGATTTTAAGGAGGGCAAGGTGGTCTTTTTGCCAATGCCGTTAATGGTGTTAGCTATGCACTTTAGTCCAAAAACACAAGGGGGCTATGTGCTAATTTTTGAACCACAAGGAGGTGATGTGCAAAACGACCAAACCACAAGGGGGTAAACTGAATTTTGTCCTATATATATTAGATTTAACCTTCCTCATACTCATGTATGGAAATTTGCTTTATCAAGTAGCACAATTTAGAATATGCTTAGGATGTTAACATGGCTGTTCAACTAGCATGATCAGGGAAAATGTGATATGTTTCCATATCAGATCAGTTTGTTGACCATAGCCATGTGAATATTGCTCTGTTTTAAGATTCTCGTTCGCCCATTTTTTTTCTTGCTGAATATTGCTCTGTTTCTACAAAATCCAGCACAGAAACAGAAGGAACCGCTGAAAAGGAGGGAAACTTTGTAAAGGAAAAAAACTGTGGAAGATTTGACGCCAAAATACATCATTTTCCCTTAATTAACCCTGGGGACCTTGCCTCAAGTGAGTCATGAGTGCATTTGTCCGTCACAGTAAACAATTGAATTGAATGGAAGGGCTTGATTGACACACATTGACAAGTTGAGGGGTTAAATTGACACAAACCAAAATTGAGGGGCTTAATTGACTTAAACAATATAGTTTAAGGGCTAAATAGGTAGTTAACTCCTTTGTTTAATAAGAGAAACACAGCTGATCACCGTCTTGGAAGCCTTAAAAAAATTGTACTTGACGCAGTTACAAGTCAGTGTTTAGAGCAAATTACACTTTGACCACCAAATTACGCCCCTTCTATCACATTATTACCTTTTTCTTAGGGAACCCGAACCTAACCCGAACTTTTCAATATTTGGGTTGTGTTTTTTAATACTTTTGTTGGGTTTAGATAAAAAAATTTCAAACCGAATTGAATTTGGGTAATACTGGGGTTGGGTCTTTGGATTGACAGGTTCAAAATCCAACCCGAATTTATGAAATTGGAGTTCAAACTCAAATTTGAAAAAAAATTACAAATAAACATATTTCTATATAAAATGTTAAGACATTTGTCCCGCAATCCTTATCGATTGTTATTTGATGTGTTAAGCCTATGGCAAATGTGAAATTTATTTTTATGTTTTTTAATTAATGAAAGTTATAGAATTTAAGTTCAATTTTGGAGCTGAACACAAAATTCAACCCTATTTTTTTTTAAAATTTGAATTTTGATTAATAAGAAACTCAATTTTAATTTGAGTTTAACCCGAATTGTGTAACTTGAGACCAACCCGAATTTAAAAATTCAATCATAGTTAGGCTCGAGTTAGAGTTGCTAAGGTTGAGCTTGAGTTGAGTTGAGTTGAGTTGAGTTGGATTCGGATAGAAGGTTTTATATCTTGAGTTGACCTTGGTTAATCTTCAACTTGTCCAACCTACCCGAGTTATACCTCTACTCTTACTTAGTAATTTATGTTTTTTCTATTATATTTTTTTGCATTACTTTTAATTATGATTGTTGGTTTACAGTGTCCAATAATATAAATTAGAGACATGTACTACGCAATTGGAGATTTTATTTTTAAAACATGATGAACCTTTCGTTTTTGAAGATGTGAAATCAATTCAAGTAATTAAGAGAAAAACAAGGAAAAATCAATAATTAAGAGGACAAAGTGAGGTGGATTCATAACTGATGTAGTTTTTTTTTTGTTGAACTGATAACTAAGGAAGTTAAAATCATGTAGATTTCTCCAATACAAGCTATACATGAATTTACATGATCTATATATGATATGAACTCGGCAGGACTCTAGTCAATTATACTTGCATACAAAATAAATTGGGTGTAAACAAAATAAATTTTAACAACATAGAAACTCAGTATGACCTTACCCAATGCCCAAATGGTGTTAGCTAATGTTAATTGATGTATTTATAGTAGACTTTAATGTTATGCCTGATTTCATGGATATTAGCGACACTATAGATTCTGGAGAGAGTTAGATGTATATATCCTTACTGTGTTCTCAACTACTGAGATAAAAACATTCTTAAAGCCTTTTGAATTAGATTACGAACGAGAAGTTTTGTAATGTGTCATTATTGTTATAATGAACAACTTACTTTAATTTTCACCTTAAGCTTCTACTTTTTACTATTCCTGTTTGTTTAAACCATGTAATTAGACAGTAAAGACCGATGGCCTACTAAGTATTAAAAATAAATTGAGATAATTAAAAGTTAGTAATGTATTATAAAACTAGTTATATAGTTTTTTTTTTATATTCGTAGATTACATCACTCTTACAATCGAGAATCAATTATAACAACTTTTGAATAGCCAGAAGTTTTGTGTGGGGGGCACAAGTTTTAATTATTGTGAATGCCAAGAAAACGTTATAAAAAGGGGAGAAAGCATAGAGCTTAGCACGGGAGGAAAAAAAAGAAAGAAAATAGAGGAAAGTGGGAGGAAGGAATCAGTGAGAGTTAAATACTAATTTGTTATCTAATTATTTAGAAATTTTAGTATATCAGCGATGCTATTTTGAGGTATTAATATGCCAAATTCAATTGAGAATTTGAGGTACAGAGTAGTATATAATATATTTTTCTTTTAATTTCTTTGTAAAAAATATCTTCTAATTATCTGAATTTTATATTCCCATTGATTATTATTAGTTCATTTTAAACTCTAAACATTTGTCGAGTTGGCCTACATTTTGGGCTAAATATTTTTGGGACTGATTACTACATGTACAAAGTGTACTTAGAACATATTTTGTGACCCTATGGGCGTGTGAATGTGATTATGGTCTTACGGGGTATGAATGTCATTATGGCCCTTTGGTGGTGCATTTGTGATTGTGGCCTTATGAGGCGTGATTATGACCCTAGTGAGATGTATTTTTATGAATTTATATACATTAAATGTCACTTGTAATGTCCCATTATGAACCAAATATAAAACTATATTTGTTAGCAATTGAGTTATTATCCAATTTTATTCATTATTCTTGATGATGCACAAATCAGTATTGCGCAAAATCAACAGTCAAGAATATGTAACGGGTGTAATTAATGAACAATTAATAGGCAATCAATGGTAAAACAGTAAACAAGAGCAAAACACAGATTTATAGTGGTTCAGTCCGGATGACCTACTCCACTCTCGGGAACAGCAACAGTGGCCGGAGATCTTTATTTATAAACAATATCACCGAGAGAGTTTACTCCAGGAGAGTTACAACGGTGAGGAGAGAGAAACAATGTGTGTAGGGAGGTGTAGTGTGTGTAGAGATATCAAAGGTCTGTCAAGATCTTAAGGTGATACCCTTTATGTAGAGAGGGTTTACATTATATAGACTTAGTAAGGCAGTGACGTAAGGGAGAAGGCTTCTACTATTTTAGAAAGTACAGTTATGGTAGGATTAGATCTTCATGCATATCCCGATATTCTCTCCTCGTGCTCCTATTCTGTCGGGAGGAGAATCTTGAGCTGGACCTCCTGAGTTGAGTTGGACTTGAATTGGAGTGGCAATATGAAGAAGAGGGAGCATGGAACAAAATAGCGGAGGGGTCCCCTTGGGGTGGCCTCCTTGGGCAACGCCCCTTGGGGTCTCCTTCAAGCGTTGATCACTTGAACTCCTCTTGGTCCATTAGCCTTGGGTTCCTCCGAGTACTGATGATTTGGACCCCTCTTGATTTACTTCCATTGAGCCTGGTCCAATTTATTTTAGGCTTATCATTTGCCCCCCATGCCCCAAGCCTTTGACTTTTTGCAATAGGAAGAGATTGAGGGCATGCGCTTCGTCTTCATTTGAGTGAGCAGAAATTTTCTTGCTTTCCCACTATACATCTTCGTCTTCAATGACTCTGATAAGTTTACCAATACCAGATTTTCTTTTTTTCTGTTGGGCGGTGGCCTTTTTTTTTTTTTTTTT